GTATATATATATGTGTATATATATATATATATATATGTGTGTATATAATTACGAGGGCGAAATAAATTCGATAAAAATACGAACGTATGTATAATGTAAGTAAACGAATCGAGATCGAGTTATCAAACTCGTTTTAAGATCGCAAAATAATGTGCTGAATTCTTACTCGGTGACTGCAGTTTGTAATCGCAAACAGTCTACATAATGAATTATGCATTTGTATAACGAACCATTTGTGAACGAAGGAATGATGTATATTTCATGTGATTTCTATATTACACATATACCTTTTTTGCTACATTAGATACGTCGTCATAGCTGACCCATTGATCGCGTTTCGACGCGTACGGTCCCACGCGGCCCTCCGAATCTTTTGTTACGGACCAGCCGTCGTTCTTCACATTATCACATATCTTGCGTAGCGAACCAAATAAAATGAAACAATTAATAAATAATATCCTAATTGTTGCGATTCGATTTATTAATGATAGCGTAGCTAATTCTTACCTCGTGATATGCTAGGAACCCAGCTGATTTCGTAAACTTGCCGGGTTCTCCAGGTCCGTCAGCTTTCACGTGGAAGCTCGGTCTGTTCAGAGACTTTTCAGATAAGGTAAAACTTGATCCGTAGGTAGGTATGCCTAGGACAATCATTTCGGCTGGCACGCCCTTATTGATCCAGTACGTCACGGAGAAGTTCGCATTCAGAAACGGGCTGATATCGTCGGGGTGATGATAAAGCGGCGCGACATGACCAGTTTCACTTCCCATACCAGTGTGATAGTCGTACGCTACCACGCCGATCCAATTCACGTACCGTGTTAAAAGCGAAATATGAGTGTAGCCTCGATCGATGACGATCTTGTTCGCTGAGACCACGATGGATAACAAAAGTCCTCTAGATGTTAACGCTTCGCTAAGGTCTTTGAGAAATTCGACAAAGTTCTCGCGGTCCTCCTCAGGACCGCGGCTACAATCGCCCTGTCCGAGATATTTTGTTTTTAATTGCTATAATTATAGCATCCTTAATCTAATGGGGATTTGGGATCTATTAATAAATAGAAAATTGTACTGAAAAAGAGAGTGAAAAAGAGAAAAATAATTTTTTGTTTGATATTATTGTAATAAAATATCTTTTGGCAAAATCTTTTTCTCAAAATAAAATCTTTAAATTTTTTAAATCTCTCTAAAATTTTTAAATCTTTAAATTCCTTGATAATTTATGTTGAAAGAATTATTGCAATTACACTGAGAAAAAGGGAGGACATTACGGTGACTTACCTGCCAGCATACCGGAAACTCCCAATCAAGATTAAGTCCATCGAATCCGTATTGTTCGATGATTCTTACGACATACCTAGTAAAATTTTTTCTAGTCGATTGCGGACTGCTTATCAATCTGCTGTACTTGTCGTCCTCTGAATCGTTCCATCCACCTAAACCGAGCATCACCTTAACGCCATTTCTTCTTTTAATTTCTGCCGTTTTATTAAGAAAACTCTTATAGACATTGTCGGAGTCATCGATGTTTAGAAGAAATGTTTCCTCTTCCAACGTAGCAAAGGCGTACACAATATGCGTGCAAAGCGTCCCATCGATGTTCTTGGGAGTGAAGCTGCCAAAGCTTGTGCGCCTCCAAGCCCAATTTGTGTAGTAACAAACTATTTTTTTTTCATTTACATTTTTGGCAAGTCTCAATCTCGGCGATAGGCTGCTCTACGAAATCAATAGAATAAATCTCGCGGTTTTTTCATGCTGTAACGTGCTTTACATTTGTATTCGCTAATTAAAAACTTGTATTCGTCGTGATACATACTCGACGCTCAGCAGTTTTGCATTTGGTGTTCTCCGGCCAGTCGCATCGGTCTTCATTCCAGTAAAGTCCAGGTGGACAGGACTGTTCCGAGATCTTACCGAAGTTGCACAGATAATATTTGGTGCAGTCGCTTTTGTGCGATATGAATAAATGTCCTCCGCAGTCCGCTGGAGGTAGTGGGCTGGCTTCGATCTCGATGGTATCATCTATGTCTGGATCTAATTCAGTCGTTGTTGGAATTGTTGCTGGTGGAATATATGTAGGTGATGTAGTGGATTCGTATATGGGACGTTCGGTGACAGTTGTAGACTCAATGTTGCTCTGGTCGACATCGATTACAACCACTTCTGTACCTGTTGATCATAAGATGGTATTCAAATGTTATTAAAATCATATGTAGAAAATAGTGTAATATTTATATATCTTTTAAATGTATAATAGAAAATAAATTATATATTTTTCTATCAGGAGGCATGTACGCGATAGTGTCTCGGTGCTAAGCAAGCACGGCGACATTTTTTGTCGTATATGTCACAAGTCAAATTGAGTGAAATATTTTTTGATTTTGAAAACGATATCAATATATTATTATTTACCTTCCGTAATGGGACACAGCGGGCCCTTTGGATAGTTCCTCAAAACTCGATTCATTGTCCTTAATAGCGGACTGGGTTCACATCCACATCTGTTCTTGAAGTCGTCTAAGTCCAAGGCCCAAATCATACCGCCACCGAGGCCAAGTTTCTTGATTAATTCTGCTTTCAGTTTGATTTGTTGGGCGTCGTCGAAGCTTACCCATTGGTCACCTTTGTAGGCGTAAGGACCGATTCTTCTCTCTTTATCTTGAATAACTGTCCATCCCTTCTTCAATGTTCTTTCACATATCTATCATAAAGTAAAAAAGTACAAATATTTATATTAATATAAAAGAATGCAAATTTTCTTCAGAAATAAATATCTTTTACAGAACATTAAAAATTAATTAATTAAAAATTAATTAATTAACATTCTTCTATAATATACACATGTACTTATTAAAAATTCATTTAATATTTCTATTTACTTTTATTTTTATTTTTAATATTTCTTTTTCGAAAACATAGAGCTGACCTCGTAGTATGATAAAAAACCTCTTGCTCTGGTCGCTTCTCCAGCCTCGCCACCCCCATAGGTTGGCGCGTTTAATCCGTGTACGTTTCTCTCCGCAAGTGAAAATGATTGGCCGTATAATGGAACGCCCATGATTAACTTTTTCGGATTTGCACCTTTCTCTATCCAATAATGGATCGAAAAGTTCTAGTGGAAAAAATCAAGGTGGTTTTAAGACTCTTGCAAATATTCACCTCAACCGTATTGAATCGTGATGTCATAAGCGAGAAATGTGTTATAAGCGATACGTTAATTTTCTTGCACGCCATTTATAAATAAATAAGACAAATTGAATAAAACGAAATAATGAGATCACTGTAAAACACTTGTAAAAATAGACCGCAACACTGTCATCATTATCCCCCCTGATAGTCAGTAAATAATCGTAAAATGCGTTTACTACTTTATCCTCAATACGCATGCGCAGCATTGCTATTGAATATTTTCACTTCACAAACATTTTTCGACTACTTACTATTGCTATCAGGGGGGTTAATGATACAGTATTGGCTCATTTTTACAAATGTTTT